ACAGGATCTGCTCTTCTTCAACTGGACCTCAAATCTCGGGTTCCTGTTTTCTCGTTAGCCTCTGGCTCCATCATTGCATTCGAAGACACTGGACCTAAATAAAGGTAATTAGTGAGATATTTCCACTTGCCTAGCTCTCAGGTGGGCACCGGTGACCGGGTGGATGTGAGGAGGTTAATAGCACAACAGCAATGATTAATTGTGACCATTTTGTGACCCTAATTAACAGTAAAAATAAAACCATCCCAGTGGAAGTCGTTGTTTCATGCTGGCCACCCTCACGGCAGGTGTCTTTTTTTCTTTTAGAGGAAGAACGTTATCCTCACTGAAGTCTTCTCTCTGCTAGACGTGAAACACGAAACACATGAAACCCACAATAGTGTTTCTTGTCTGAGTCGCGGACTCTCGCTCGCTGCTGTCAGACTCTTCTCTCTGACTCATTTTCTCTGACACTTTCCCACTCTGTCTTTCAGAGCTCGTCGTCTGTGACGGCTCTAATTCTTGGCTCTCTGACGGATTTTGCCAGAGGTGCAGTGCTACCAGAGTTCACTGGAACGAGGATCTGCCTCCTTTTTTCATAGAAAATTGGTTAATTAGACTGGGTGCCTTTTCTTTTTAAAAAAGGTGTGTCCATTTAGCTGAACAAATTATCACTAAATAGCAGGAAAAACACAATCCACCTTTATATTTTGTGTCAGGCAAGAAAATCTTGATAACAATTTGATCTTGCAAAGTTGCCAAGAGTTTAAAAGGTGCTGTTAGTCCTTTTCCTCGTTTAGTCTGCACATTAAAATAATAAAAAAAAAACTAAAGTAAGCTACTTATTGGCTAAGTAGGCTAAAGATGAAAGGCCTTTTTTGATCAGCTGAAACAGTAACAGTTAATTAGACTTGAGTTGTTTTAATCTTTTGAGCTACGAAGAAAGGAGAATCAGAGAAACATGCACTGATGGAGAGTAGCGGGATGGGAGGGGCATGTAGCGGCTGATGAAGCTGGTCAGACAGGCTTGAAGGACAGATGATCGATTCATGAAGTCGGTCTAATATTAGATCATTTGGTCGGTTATAGTTGACTGACGCTTGTAAACCTGCCGCTGTAGGACGGATGACTCCATAACCTTCAAAATGAGTTATAGCTCAAACTCACACGAGCTGGTGCATTTTTGTTGAGCTTCATTGCTTAAACAAATAACACAACACCTCTGGATTTCCCATCTGTTCTTTCAGTGAACCAAAAAAGAGGTTTTCTCACACCTAGTCATCTTCAAATGTTAATAGATATATTCCTCTAGTATCTATTAGTCTTCAGCCATTTCTTCATTAATTTATAGTTCGGTGTACTGGGTATTTATAGAGACCTGTTAGCTGACAGTGTGTCTAAATCAGACAGTTTCTTCTACAGGATGGAGCAGTGATGGAGGTCAGAGCTGCTCCCTCTGTCATTACATGGTTCAGTAAACAACAGTAAAGCTTCAGGTCAACAGTGAAGGGTGGAAGCACACACACACATACACACACACCATGTTTAAGTCTGTCCTTGCTGATGCATTCAAGGACTCTGTGACTGATGGGATTTAAGAGTCGGCTCCTGAGAGGTGTTTTCAGTCAGACGAGCTAAGCCCGAATGTTGTTTAAACTCGGATGTTTCTCCATTTTCTGATCTAAGTGCTGAAGTTTTTCAAGCATGTGAGGCATGTGGAAAAGTCAACAAAACCAGGAAGCAGCACAACGTTCATACTGCATGCTTTCTCTATCGTCTTGTTTTCTCAGCTTTTTTTAAGAACACATTTTTATTGAGCCAGAAGAAACACAAGACGTGTTCACAAAATAATGAATTTGCAGAAACCGGACAAAACAGTATCTCAGAAAACAAAAACTGACAAAAACTGCTGCAGATATCAGTTAAAGGGATTTGACCCAATTAGTCAACGCGTGAAAATAAAACGACGAATGTTTTTGATTTAAAAACAAAAACCAACAACATATTTGGATTTTCTCTACAGTCACAGTGTCATCTGCATGAGTCAGACACCTGCTTCAAAGAAACACAACTTAGTCGTAACATCAACAACTCCATAGTTTAAGGTCTTGTTAAATATAACAGGAAGTTTATTTTACACATTATACGTGTGCAGAAGCAACATAAAGCAGGGATATGCTTTAGGTTTCCCAACCACTGTGCCACGGCACGCTGTTCAGGTGTGCCGTGGAAGATTATCTGCTTTCACCTGATTGGTAATCTAAGCAGCGGTCCCCACCCCCGGGCCACGGACCGGAGTCGTTTGGTACCGGGCCGCAAGAGTTGACGCTCGGGTGTGAAATTTATGGTTTTTATCAGTTTCTATCATCGACCGCTGCTCTGAGCGACTGCGTGAGTAACTTGCAGAGTTACATTCTCTTCCACTAGAGGGCAGTACAACTTCCTGCTCCAGTTAAATTGGTTGCCAACTGCCAGTAAATCAGAAGACGAACAAATTACATAGTCATGTGACAACACAGCACATAATGGCAATAGATAAATATCTGAAAAGAAAAAGTAGTCAGTCTGACCTGGACCTGGAGAAAATCCCGACCCAGATGAAAGCCCTGGCATGAGTACTGGTCAGAAGAAAGCAAACATGGTAAACTGTGGACAAAGTGAGCCAATTCTGCTACATCTGATTATCAATATGCTTTTTGTGGGATTTTTGTTTGGTGGTGTGCCGTGTGATTTTTCTAATGTGCCGTAGCTCCAAAAGGTTAGGAAACGCTGCTTCAGGGAGATCTCATCGTTGATAATAGTTTGGACACAGAAGATGTGAAGGACCACTGGTTTATTTTTATGAGATGTTAACAGCTAAAGATGAGGAAATGAATGTGTGTTTTCTGAGATTAGTGCTGCCAGTGGTAGTAGGTGGAATTTTTCTGTGAGACAGAGTAAGAAAAGGCAGCGCTGAGCAAGTACTGGGACCAGAAGTTGTCCAATCAGTAGTAGGCAGTAGTAAGAAAATAAGCACATAGGAGAAGGGCACACACTCTGTCATGGCTTCAGTAATGACAGTGACCTCCTTAAAAGTCAGAGACAATGCCGTTGGATTAGCAGACTGTGGTGGTCCTTTTTTTAAGAAAGAGATCTGAGGAT